ACACTTTGCGCTTATGTGAGGGAATAGACTTGCTAACCATCTTATAAAATTCGTATTCCGTGCCGGATACATCAGCATAGTCCGAATTTGCCGCATTGCTGAGAGCTCCTATGCAGATACTGCACTGCCCTTCAAACATGGCAAGGCGCATTCCCTCTGGTAGTACAACAGACTCGGATGAGCAGTTAACTACCCATAATTTAGTTTTTCCCTCGGTGAGAGACACAACGCAGCGCGGCAGAAAGATGTTTTTCTTCATGCAAGGCAAAGGCAACGGCTCAATCACAATATCAGGAGAACTGAAACTCGAGTCGGCATTCGAAGCAGCAACGGGCACGCTGGCAGTAGACCATGCCGGTAGAATAGCGTCTTTAACTACAACGAGGTTGTCGTCTCCGCTACGCTGAGGCTGCTGGGCGAGGGCGGACAACAGAACCTCGCCTGCCCCGCAGTCGACAGTCGCACGGCACTCTTGCAAGAAGTCAATTCCAAGGATAACGTCATGCGTGGAATGAGCGAGCACTGCGAATTCTGCCTTGAACGCTTTACCAGCAACACAAACAGACACAGTGCACACACCTACTGGACACAAAGCCGTGCCGCTGACTGCTCGAAAAGTAGATTTATCCCAATAAAACATAACCTTGCGGCCAAGTCTCTCCTTGAAAACTAAACTCATTACAGAAACTGTTGCACCGGTGTGTACCAGAGCCATCGTGGGAACATCGTCAATGAATACATGAACCTTGTTGTGAAGCATGTGAACTAATGGAGGCATACTTGTGTGCAAAGCGGTACGTCCAGCGACCTCGCCTCCATCGGCCGCGCCGGCTAGTTTCCCGGTGGCGGAGAGGAAAGCTGCGGCCGGGGACGAGGAGATGGGGACCGTCGCTGGCGCGTAGTAGGTGGCGTCAAGCTCCTCACAGAGGCAGGCGAGTCACTGCGGATGTTTGGCCGGTGCCCGTGCTTCTGGGCAGTTGAATCCGAAGGCCAGTAGGCGTAATCGGGCTGTTGGCTTCGCCGTGCAAGCATCGCTGGTCGGTCAGAAAACGTCGTGCGTGGGCGACGTCGCAATGGGCAAAACCGGGCGATATGTCCGCGAACACCGCACTGGTAGCACACGGGGCGTTCCCGAGGCACATTGAATGCTGCGGTGTGGAGAGGATGCTCAGGGAACTGTTGCCACTCGGACACAAATGGAGGCGGTTGGCTGTCGTAGCTATAACTGCTGCGGGGCGCATAAGACGACTCGACGTAAGTAGCCGTTGGTGGCGGAGCCCTCAGCCGTGGACTGCGGGTGGAGTAACTGCGCTCGTCGAAACTCGCAGTAGCAGCATTGATGCTTGGGGATAGTGTATCACACTGCGGGTCTCCAGCTTGCATGGGAACAGAGACATGGCGACGCAGTTCCTCCCGTACAATCTGACGAATGGTGGAGGAAAGGTCGGCAGGTAGAGAATTTTGGCAGACATCGACGGTGGCAACAGTCGTGACGTTGGCCAGACGTCCGAACTTCGATGTGATGTGACGAGTTTTAAGAGCCTCGAAGGTTCGGCAGTGGTTAATCACGTCGGCCACGCATTCCAGGCTCTCCTTGCCAATGAGGAAGTGGTAGACGTCATCGGCGATGCCCTTGAGTATATGGCCCACTTTGTCTTCTTCCGTCATGTGGGCATCCACCAACTTGCACAACTTCAGAATCTCTTCAATGTAGGTTCTGCATGTCTCACCGGTGACTTGAGCCCTCTGCGACAACGTCTGCTCGGCACGTTTCTTCTTCGTTGCCGGGTCTCCAAAGCATTTCTTAATTTCCTCCACAAACTGGTCCCAAGTTGTCAACGTGTCTTCATGGTTCTCAAACCATACCAGCGCCGTGAAATCGAGGAAGAGCCCCACGTGAGACAGCTGGCTAGCTGCATTCCAACCGTTCGATCGGCTCACCCGCTGATAGTGGCTTAGCCATTCATCCACGTCATCGCCGGGTTTCTCTGTGAAGGTTCGCGGCTCCCTGTAGTGGTAGGGCGACGTCCTTGCGGCTGGTTACTGGTTGTCTCCGTCCGAGCTCATTTCTTGAGGTAATGGTGCCAAGCCCGCTAGTCGACGGCTGCGGCGAAACTCGTGTAGCGGTTCCGTCGTTAGGGGACGGTGCCTCTCGGGTATCACTTGGTAGTAGCTAGCTTACCCAGCACCTTCCACCACAATTGTGACGATGGAACGCGTTTATTTACAAGATGGGTAATGCCGAGGTGTAGCTCAGCGAAGGATCAACAGCGTCGCTCGCGAGCCAGTGGAGTCTCTTCCTCCTCTTCGTCGAATCTTCGCTAGCGCGTTTCAATATTGTAAAGTACGTCATTTGGCTAGTAAAACACCTTTTGTTCCTCAATCTTTGATTTTTTTTGTTTCTTTTCTTTCCCACATGCAGTTAGCGAGCCACAAGACACAATAAAATCGGGTATTATTAACGACACGTAAAAGGTCAGTAATAAAAAAGTTTCAATTTCGTGCCACGTAGGGCACATACACGACATCGCTACCGCTTCCGGTTGTGACGTCATATTTCATTTTTTTATTTTTGTTTGCTGTTAGTTGTCCCCTTCATATGTAGATGGAGGGGACAACAAGTTTACATGTTCTTCGGTCGTGAACTCGTGATGCGCATTGCGGTGGCTTCCCGCCCCCACGTCATCCTTCCTAGGGTAGCCACAGAATATACACACTGGGTGGCTTCCACAGCCGTGTCCAGAGAAAAGACAAAGTGCACAGAGGCTGCAACAAATCCCTACAATTCTACTAATACTTGCTAATATTAGAAAATTTTTTTGTGGCGAGAAATACCGAACGCATAAGGTTCATGTAGCGAGCCGATTTGATGGTTACTTTTAAACGTGTTGCAGTGCCCCTTTAAGCCTCTCATTATTCCTGGCAGACAGTGTATTTTTTTGAGGGGCTTGTTTCTTTGTTGGACACAACCAAATGGTGAGGGAAAACATGGGGGACATTCATTTCAGTTTGCCTCTGGTCTAATTTGTGAGGTTCACTTGGTTGTGTGTTAGGGGCTTGTAGTTGGCAGGGCCTCCAAACTGCTGGAATGCCTGTTTCATGCTATCTGCTTCAGGCTACATCAGCTCGAGATGTTTAATACTTAACCAGCAAGTGCAATTTAATGCTTTCTGTTGAGAGTTGCTGTGGAAACCCTTTATAAAAATGCACCAGGAAGCAGTTCTCGTTTCTTATACGGGGTGTTTCAATAAATGTGTCCACTTTTATTGAAAAAATACAGAAAGGAGGTATCTGCATCGTACCTGGGGAATTGCCTTTACTGTGGCAGAAAGCATATTCAAATGCGTACAAGCATTAAGTATGACAGTATATATAGAAATTAAAGGGCCCCTAAACCACCCACACCAGCGGTCGGAATTTAGTTGAGGTGAGGAAGTTGTGCTCGAGTTTACAACGAACACATAGCTGTGAGAGTTTTTCGAAACGGTGCCGTAGTCGCGGAGTTACAAGTGCTTGATGATCGAAACGCGACGATGCTTCTTTCCCTCCTTTCTACGCTGCCCTCTTGTAAAACCGCTTGGCCGCTCCTTGCTGAGTCAGCTCAGTGTCCGTACTCATCTTGCGCATCATACGCCATCGCTGACATGCTGTTCGAGACAGCGTCTACTTCAAGTTGCTGCGATCCCCCACTCTGATGCCCCAGCTTGCCGTCAACTGTGTTGTGTGTGTCATCTGGGTGCACTGATTGTTGACTAACCGCTGTTGCTGTCGTGTCGCCCGTGCCCCTTTGCTAGCGACTTGGCGGTTACGTTACGGGCTACAGATGTCGATTTCGCAAGCGGCAACATGACCAAGAACAGCAAAGTTGCGTGAACAGCTGTTTTCAGTGACCAGAAGTCGTCGGTTGTTGTTCGGCCAATCGCAAGCATTGAAATTGGTGACGTCATCGAGTTTTACTGGTGATGTCACACATATCAGTGGCGGGACTGGCGGGGACCGGAAAGGAGAAACTATTGTTTTTTCGAAATTGTGGCTCGCCCGCTACCTGTAGCGAATGCGGCGTGTGGCATCGTTTATCGTGACGGCATTCTGCACGCGATGCGCTTGTTTACTTGAAATGTTTGGAAAAATATCAGAGGGGATTTAGGGGTCCTTTAACACAGTTTTTTAACCAGTGGAAATAAGTGGCCAATTCAAATGGGTGAAATTTAAGTACTTCCTACAAATACTCCATAGCCATAATGAAATTTCTGAAAGGCGGCCACTGGTAATCGATGCGGGGCGATGAAATATGGCTAATTTAGCTGGCGAAACCGATGAACCAGACAACATGTGTACCATTCACTTCAAAAATGCCCTCAGCGACGACACTGTTTTCCGTGCTAAATTAGCCAGATTCATCGGCCTTCGGTGATCACCAGTAGCTGCCTTTCAGAAATTTCAATGTGGCTATAGAGCATTCGCAGGAAGAACTACCTGAATTTACCCATTTGACTCGACCGCCTATTTCTGCTGGTTAAAAAGTTAATTGTGTTGATTTCTATAATTTACTGCTGTAGTTAATGTTTGTACATGTCGGGAAATGCTTTGGCGAGGCATTTCTCGACACGTAAAAGGGAAAAAGACACTCCTAAAAGGGAACACTGCAGGTAGCACGCAGATACCTCCTTTCTGTAATTTTTTTCGTAATAGTGAATACATTTCCTTAAACACCCTGTATAGGGGTCTCTAGTAAAGAATGTAGTACTGCATTCTCATTTTCTGGTTGACTCCCATGTCGATGTAGTTACAATGAAGTCTCTTGTACTTAACATCAGTGTGTCTTTGAAAGGGTTAAGCTGTCGGAGATCTTGGTACAAGCATGGTACGCCATTTTCAGCAAAGTGTCAATTTTAGTCAAGGTTTAATAATCATTCATTGCATACTTTCGAAACATACAGTAAGGAGTGCTACTTTCACACTGGTTCATATTACGAGATAAAGAGACAGAAGCAGATACATAAAATTTGTTGCAAGTTTTATTATTCTTTGGCCAAAGTATGCAGTATTTACAAAAAATAAAAATACAATACTCGGCAATGAAAGTGCTTAATTGTTCTTCAACGGGTGTGACAACAAAAAATCTACATGGCGCGTGCACTTTTCTACACAGATCAGCAGTCTATTGGCCACAAATAACACCACACATGACATTCAGCGCAGTCCTATATATTATCGAACAGTACACAACATGAGCTAGACTGCCTTATCAGCGTACAAAAGCTTGGCACTCTTACAGTAAGTAGCGTGCACACGCATGTACACAAAAACCACAAATTCATTTAAAAATTTAATGAAAGCCAGATGCCATTTCTGCTCTGGCAAAGCATGGCATCACCGGTTTTTAGTGTGCATTGAGGTCCTTTTATTGCTTTAATACAATATGTAGGCTTGTGCAAATATGACTATATGACTTACAGTAGCTGGTTTTAAGCTAAGTGAAACAAATGGAAATTAGTACCCAATAATTTTAGAAGCAAGTTCGAATAGTAATGGAATTTGAATTGCGGTATGGTGCAAGTTGTAAGTAATAAAATTAAGCTATAAAATTTGGCACATATGCTTGTGCGAGATTATTTTAAAGAGAGGTACTGACACGAAAGTTTTCAGATGTTTGCATCAAATGAAAGGCCAAGCCCATACGAGCATCAACTGGTATATGTGAAAACACCCAGAAAATTTAATTACATGTTTTAAAAGCTAGTTTCAGTTTCCACTGTGTCTTGATGTCGCCACGCAGTACAAGCTTTTCATCGCGTGCTTGAGCAACATGTCGTGACATTTGCATGGCAGGTACACTCTTTAGGTGACGCACAAGTGGCTAATTTGTACGTTTTGGTAGCCGACATCATCACAACTAGCCATAACGATGTGTGAGGTCACCAGTATTTATACTTTCGCCTAACATCACACTAGTGTCAATGTCAGCAGGTGTGCCATGCGAAAATTGACCTTAAGGTCAATATAAATTATTCACACTTGCTGTAGCAGAATCGCGAGTTGGACAAGCTGGTGGATGTTCACCGTAGAATAATTGACAGCGCAACAGGTTCGGTATGCAGAGAAAAGACCTGCATCTGTGCATAGGAGATCTGTACGCCAGAGTAAAATCGGCTTCAAGAATAGGTGCCAGTACCCCTCTAAGCTTTAATAACGAAAATGATTCGGGTGCATGTGATAGGCACATCTAAACCCTGGAAGTGTAAGCTCGTAGCATTGTGGATTTCCCCTAATTAGGCGGTGCCATGCACTGATGATTCATGCCGCAGTTATAAGTGGCATGCTACACTGATTTGCCTATCCAAATAATTCAAAATGTTAGAAATTTGAAATTTGTGTTGAAATAAATTTTGATATTCAAAGTGCTCGACCATTAACACAAGCCTAGCAATATGCACTACTGTCAGTAAAAAACAACTGAGATCTTATTAAATTGGACATTCAGAATACAGTGCAACAATTGGATTGCTATTGCAGCAAGTTGTCAGTGATGTGGACACAAGCACAGGCACTCTTAAGCAACAATGTTCCATAAAATACATGGTGTAAAGAACCACTTTGTAAAAATAAACAGGGTCAGAATATGTATTGCGTTACACACAGTTACAGGAAGTCTTGAAGGTCTGTCTGCACCAGGATTTGACGAGACGCATGCGTCACATATCTGAAAAATAGTAGCTACAGCAATCGGTATGCGTGTATTGTGCTGAAGACATGTAAAATCGATCTCAAGGATTTGCAGAATACAAACCGTTTGGTGTAGAGTGCCACGTTGCATAAAAGAAATGCTACGAAATTTTTCTTGTGCATTTACAGCCCTCGAAAAGATGGTCTAAAAAATGTAGGCACGAGTACAGGCACTATCTGCACATTAAAGCCTCACGATTAAAAAAAGGTTGAAAACACCGGTCATTGTAAGTCAGCAAAGATCATTGTAAACCACGCTGTTCACAAGCTAGCCTGCGACGCACGCTTACTCGGCATATATCAGAGGCCAGTATGCCGTGTGAATAGCACCGACATACCTTGAGCAAACAACAGCGTTGGAAGTCATACTGAATGAATTCGATAAGGTGCGAAGACCTTGAGCAAATGCAGAGTACCCAATACAGTAATGTGCACTCAATTATTTTCATACAGAAAATGAAACTAACAAAGAGGAAGTGTAATGTCAAGAGAGTCTAGAATTCTATGGAATTCCAAAGTACCTTTGCTATAACTAAGCTGTTTAATTTTCACGTTTTGCTGCCTTGTACAGACAACAGACTGACAGTCCGAGGAGACAAAAACTGCCGTCATAGATTTCCAACAAGGACGAGTCTCCGCCCTAGCCTGGTATAGGCCAATAGTAAATTGACAGTTACAGAAAGCGGACTTGTAGAAGTAGATATATATATTTGGCATTAAACTTTACGTGCGAAGAAAAAAAGTCCAACTTTAGTTTAGATTTAGCTTGCTGCTTGTAAAAAAACCAAACAATGTTCTTTGTCATGTATGCTGGAATGGGTAGTGAATCTAAAATACGTGCTTCGTACCCTAACTCGAGACCTGTCTTTGTACAGACCCAGCGCTCTTACAGTGAAGCAATAACAGCGCATGATGCTCTAGCTGTTGCTTTGCGTGGGTGTTATCTAAAATGGACTGCTACAATGCTACACTTGACTGCATATATATTAAGCCGGCATTAACAGGAATCGTCAACAGATGTACTGGCCTAAAAATGCCCAAAAATGAAATTCACATGTTCGTAGAATGTAGCTGTTCCGTCTAACCAACTGTGCTTGAATAAGACTGCCCCCTTGCATATCTTTTGCCTGACAGCAAAATGGAATGTCATAGAATGTGTCTAGGAAAGTGAAGCTATAAACTACTCTTCACATATCTGTTCATGCTCTGTTGATCACTGATACAAGAATGTTTGCTAAAAGTATATTATACACACATGTACACACACACAAACACACACACACACATTTCTGATAAAAAATTCACTCTCATGTTGCTACTAATATAGCGCTACAAAAAAAACATTACAATAAATACATTTTCTGCAATGATGAGTGTGTTGCGGTGACTTTGCTTAGCAAGCAAGCAAAGAGGAACATGGCATATCTGCATTCGACCAGATGGTGTGGCATGCTTACTTAGTAAACAAAATGCTGCCTTGCTTCAGTCAAAGGCCGGCCGATATAGCAACTAGTCATTAGAGAGAACTGCATACTGTTTTGCAAGCTCCAATGGTCCCTTTGCAGCCATGTGGCCCCATCTTTATAATCCCCCCCCCACCCTGTTCGCATTAGTGTAGTTGAGTGCACTAAGGCGACTGAGCCTATGACAGTTGCACAAAAGCGTGTGCTCAGTAATTGCAAACAAAGACAGTCCAGCAACGCTTCTTTGATGCAAACCTGTGGCATTAAGACTAAAAATCGGATATTTGCATGCTGAAAGCAGCACTGTCTGAGTAGTAGTAGTAGTAAACAGGAGGAGACAAAAGGGGCTAGAGGACATGTTCGGCCCCTTTTACTTGGATTGTGCAGTCACTCTGAACACTGAAAACGCAGTCACATCCTCAGTTCCCTTATTTTTTCGCTCTGATGGAGCAAGCTGGATGTCGTAGGTTTTCTTTTCAGAGATTCTTTCATCTAAGTGATCAGCAGTTAAGTTGCATGGCCACATGAGGTCTTGCCTGGTTTTCATCTCCTTTGATTGTAACATATCTGCTCCATAATTTACAAACTAACTGCAGTTTGTGCTAACATGCTTGCTTTTATATAAATTATCTTCAGTTAATAGATCACATGCAATACAAGTTCCTTTACGTCTTGCATGGTAACTTAAAGAAAAAAGTGCACATGATTGATACAACAACTTGTTTTGCTTGAAACACACATGCATCAAGTGATTTGACACTATAAAAACTCCCGACAGCATGACTATACTGCAAGCATATGCACTGCTAATAATGGCGAATTCGCATCTCCGAAGTTAAAGGCTGCCAGCAAGGCCTCTGCAAAGAACAACTGCTCGTTTTCACATTTGTAACTTTGCATTTCAAAGGGAATTCTTCTGAGTTTCGATCCGGCTCATTGAAGTCCACATTGTGAAGTTTGGCTCAGAATTAAAAATGGACCCGTACAATCCAATCTAGCATCTTGGTTAACATCAGTTCTAACAAGGCTGCGCAAAATACACCCGGGAAGCTTAACCATTAGATTCTTGCTGCTCGGAAACAGAAAGTGCATGCTACAGAGAGCTGATGGTACGATACAAACAACTTGGCAAGGCCACTACACTTTCAGACTACACCATGATTAGTCACTCCTTGCCTGTGCATAACATCGGCTCTCCATTGGCTTATATGAAAAGAGGTTGAAACTCGCGAGTCACTTCAGCCAGAGAAGTTTCTCTCCCCGTTTTGCCGACGACACTGTTGCGAAGTTCCGTGCCACTTGTACTAGTGGAATGATTGGCCACAAGTTTTTGTGAGCTGTCGACGAGACACAGAAACACCCATGGCAGGCGGCGGTTCGGTGCAGTCTCTCTCGGACCGGCAGTGAGCATTCGGTGTTGTCTTGTTAGTCTACGTCAGCCGAGGAGTTCCTGACGGCCAATACGGCCTAGCCTGTGCGTGATACAGCAACACTCGGAAGAATCCAGACTTGCTGGTAGAAGCACCGTGGTCACACTTTTGTTTCAGACAAGGGTAGTTGCAGTGTAACAGCTTCGCAGTATGGTGGTGGAGGGTCTTCTTGAGACGATGATGGCCTCTGTACACCGAAATTAATGGTGCAAAAGAAAAGTACAGGCACACTCTAAGTGCATTTCACAATGGTCACTATACACACGGCACGTGCGACAAAACCAACAGTTTGTACAATCTTTAAGATAATAAAGCAGGCATGGTAGAAATGTTCATAGTTCGCATTCTGTGGTATATGAGGACGCAAGACTGCTGCGTTTGTAACGCCATCATGTACTGCGCCCGACGCAAGCTGCATGCAGTTCAGTGGTGGAGTTCAGTGGTATGATACGCACTTCAGTGAATCACCTTCCCTTTTTCTTTATTTTCTTAGCTGCCATTATCTTATGCAACGAGAGCTTTTCTTTTCTGCCACCTTTTTTAATATGAAGCGTTTTTAAAAAGACTATAACTACGACCTGATGCGATCTTCGCTCAAAATGAAGCTTACCGCAAAAAGTGCCGTACAAGAGGTGAGTTAAAACATTTCTTACAGGTAATGTTGTCATCAGTCAACAAAGAAAATACAAATTTAGGAAAAGGGCTATTGTGAGGTGACAAAGTGAGATTAAGTTAAGGCTAGGACTAAGTTTCAAAACCTTGGAGTTCTTGAACATCCGTCAAAACCTAGCTTCCAGCTACTTATACCACGTGACCACCAGAATACTGCTGCTGAAACCACAACCTCATATCAAGGAGCAAAATCATGTAGTCATAGCAATGCAAGAGCAAATTTCTGCTTGGATGCAGTTAAATGGGTCGACAAAACTGATATCGTCTGTGGCTTTTCTCACTCTTAGAGATGGCATGGCAGTCCGATTGCCCGTTCACAATAACATTTCTGCCAATCACGCTCCAACCATAACGCATAGAACATGCGCTGCAACTATTGAAAAATCTGCTTTTCACTAGCTGACACAATAGGTACAAGTGCATTTTTTATTGCAGCAATAAGCCTCGGAACTCAACTAATTTTCCAAACAAGTAAATCCTCACATTAGGCTTTGAGGAACTGCAGCTTTGAGTTCGCGGTTTCTATGCAAGCAGGTTGCATTGTGGGCTGAACTTCAAATGGACAGGCTGTAAGTGCACAGATGATACAATTAAGAATCATTTTTAGAATTATTTTGTCTGTATGTCTTTTAACGCTGAGCCTGAAAGTATGTGCAATTGTGTCATGAACCACACTGCAATTTGATGCAGGGTGTTAGATCACACTACTGGGTAAGTTCCACTGAAGGAAGCTTCTATGGTAAGTCAGAGACAGCAATGATCTATTAACTTCACAGCATACAAAAGAAGTAGGGAGACAGTTCATTCTGAGAGGTGTTCACAAAAAATGAGATGAGTAATGAAAAATGATGACTTGGTCTCATCGGATGATCCAGACTGTACAAAAAGAAATGCAGCATCTACACAACTGAATGTGCAAGCCACCAAAAAAATGCAAACAGAAATACATGGTCACGAAATGTATACCTGAATGCCATACCGTGTCATCAAAGAGGCAATGTGTTTTATCCAACTTTCAACAACCTTGACTGTATGCGCAGAAAAGAATATTAATGTACTGATTTCAGGATTCCGCCGTTCAAAAGAATTGAATGTATAGCAGGACCTGGACATATGGAATCGCTCGCCAATCGAAGCATTATGTCCCCTTAGAAAACCCATGCAGGAGTATAGCAATTTATCACAAGCATGTCAAGCATGTCAAACAATACTTGACATCTTCATTTCATATACTGAACACAGCGGTGCAGTGTACCCCTGTGTGTGTGTTTTTTGTATTCAGGCTAAGATCATTTCCCAGGATCATCACGAATGTTCCTGCTGATGAAATGGCAATATTTCAACACATTGAATCCAGTTATGATGTGAATCAGAATGCTGCTGCGGGACATGGAGAAAAAAGAGCAAAACACTTGTATAAAAATAATGTCTATCTACAAGGGTTTTATTGATGCACATTTCAAAACTAAGGATTTGCTGCAGTAGGGTTTCCCACACCACAGAGATGTAATGTGGTAAAAAACAAAGATGTCGCAGAAAGTGATTTATTGTACAGGAAGGCGTACAACTAACTCGGAAAGCCCACCACTGCTGCAATACAGTTAAACCTGGATATAACGAAATTGATAAATTCCCAGAAAAATTTGTTATAAACAAATTTCCGTTATATCTAGGTTCGGTACAAAAATACAAAAAATAATCGTGCAAATTAAACAAAAGGGGGACTGAAGGCAGAGCTAACCCCCAAACATTCATTTTACAGTAAAGAACTGCGTTATTATTGCGATAGCAATTATATGGACCCTCTCGGCGGGTTCTTGCTGTCGCCGCCATGTTCCGCAACAAGTCCAAATTGACAACATGCCCACGCGCATTGTAACTTTCACAAGCGGGTAAAAGCGCGCGAGCGCTGCTGAAGCAGAGATCACATGAGTCGGCTCATCCCTATCGCCTGGAAAGTGCATAACATCTCACGCGTGTTAGAACTGCCATCGAATGCTCAAACAGAAAGTAAACCACCTGTCTTAAATGAGCATGAAACAACGTGGGGAGGGGGGGGGGGGGGGATCACTCAAGTAGCAATAATAAACTTGGATTTTTTAAAGCGATTTGAATTTTTCACCCACTTTTCTTTCTTTTTATTTACATTCCATTGGTTCTAATAACTTCCCCTATACATTACTTGGCATTACTCTCTGTTAGATCTCATTAATATTGTGTCAAAACACGGAAAGACAAGCCCTTAGATATACACTTCTTTCCCATACATATATATTGTAAGATGGCGTCCAGTACCCTCAAGTCTCTTCTTCATTGTCTCGAGGATGTGCCCCACAACCTAAACTGCAGTGGTGATGATGGGTATGTACAGATGAAAAGATGGAACGAGTAATGATGCTCACACTTATTTTCCTCGCGCACTTGATTGGCCGACCCGGCCGAGACTTAGGGGGGAAAGGTACGGCAAACAAAAGGTTTAAGGCGTGAAACGTGAACTATCTCGGATGCACGGTAACGACGGTCCGAGGAACCCTCGACGGGAGTGACAAGGTAATTGACAGGAGATGTTCGTTCACTAACAACGTAAGGTCCAAGAAAGCGTGACTGAAACTTTTCACACAATCCGGGTGTACGAACAGGCGTCCAAAGTAGTACTTCATCTCCAGGACGGAAGGTGACAGCTCGACAAAAGCTGTCATATCGTTGCTTGCGGTCTAGTTGACTGGCCTCCGTGTTGAGTTGAGCACGTTGCCGTGCGTCAGCGAGCCTGGAGACGAAATTTTCTGGCGTAGTCGTGGACGTTTTTGTCGTTACATTGAAGAAAGAGGCGTCAATAGTGAATGTCGGCGCACGACCATAGACGAGGAAGAAAGGTGAATACCCGGTGGTTCGTTGAACAGCGGTGTTGTGTGCTAACGTTACGAACGGCAAGATTTTGTCCCAGTTATCGTGGTTCGGTCCGATGTACATGGATATCATGTCGATTAGAGTCCGGTGGAATCGCTCTGTCAGGCCATTTGTCTGCGGGTGGTAAGCGGATGTGGTCTTATGAACTGTGCCACAAGTTTTTAGAATTTCATCAAGAATTGTCGACATGAAGGCCTTGCCCTGGTCACTCAACAACGTGCGAGGTGCACTATGGTGCAACACAATGGCTTCTAAAAAGAAGCCGGCAACGTCTGAGGCGGAGCTAGTGCGTACAGGAGCGGTCTCCGCGTATCGTGTGAGGTGGTCGACGGCTGTGACGATCCAGCGGTGGCCCGCTGGTGTTACGGGAAGTGGTCCGACGAGGTCTATTCCCACAACGACAAAAGGTGTATCGGGACATGGAATGGGTTGTAATAATCCAGCAGGAGCAGAAGTTAGTTGTTTCCGGCGTTGACACAGTGCACAAGAAGCGACATAATTAGCCACAAAGGTAGAAAGACCAGGCCAGAAGAAACGGCTCCTAACGCGGTTGTAGGTCTTCTGAAATCCCAAGTGTCCAGCTGATGGATCGTCGTGGAGTGCTTCAAGAACTTGTTTTCGCAGTGAACGGGGAAGTACTGGCACCCACCGATGCCCATCCGCATTGTAAGTATAGCGCTGCAAGACATTGTTGTCTAGCTTGAACTGCCGTAGCTGACGACGTAGTCTGGCATTAGGTGGAGAAGGCGAGTCATTCAAGTACCCGATGATGCGGTTACAGTATGAGTCGTCACGTTGGCACGCGGCAAACTGAGCGCTGCTGTTTAAAGATAGTGGCCCAGCAACTGCCACGGGTGATAACGTGAGTGCAGAGGAAGCCGCTTGATCACCTGAGGGGCATCGAGGATGCGTGGTTGTAGATGAAAGTGGCAAAGGGCAGCGAGAGAGAGCGTCGGCATCCTGATGCTGTTTGCCAGACCTGTACACAACGTCAAAAGTGTACTCTTGCAAACGGAGTATCCAGCGACCGAGTCGCCCAGACAAATTCTTCAGCGAGGACAACCAGCATAGGGCATGGTGGTTGGTAATGACAGTGAAGTGGCGTCCATACAGATAAGGTCGAAACTTCTGGATGGCCCAAACGACAGCAAGACATTCCTGCTCTGTTATCGAGTAGTTCTGCTCTGCAGGTGTTAGTGCGCGGCTGGCATACGCAACTACTCGCTCACGTGAAGTGTCGTCACGCTGGAGAAGGACGGCACCGATTCCGTGGTCGCTGGCATCTGTGTGAAGGAAAGTGGGTGCGCTCTCATCGAAGTGACGGAGGACGGGGTCTGATGTCAAAGCACGTTTAAGGGCTTGGAAAGCACACTCGCACTCGTCAGTCCAAGTGAAGGCCGTTCCTGACGTCAGAAGCTTGTGTAACGGCCCCGCGATGGCAGCAAAGTGACTGATAAAGCGGCGGAAGTAAGATGCCAAGCCCACGAAACTTCGCAATTGTTTTTGATTGCCCGGACGTGGAAAATTAATTACGGCAGCAACCTTGTCGGGGTCGGGTCGAACGCCATCTTTGCCGACAAGGTGACCCAATACTTTGACGCTCCTGCT